GATTTGCGAGAAAAAAAAAAAAACTTGTGCACAGTGGACACTGGGTGGAGTGAACTTTTATTGAGAGGGTTCAATTATGTACAAATTAACTCAGGCTATGAAATCAAGTGAGAACTCTATTTCTGCAGATACTGTCTGCAAAAGACGATTTCCCTAAATTTTATGAATGAAATAATGCAGCTGCTTTTCTTGCCTAAAAGTCTTCATTTAAAGGATTTCTGTGAATCACTATATATTCCTTATTGGGACCATCCCTGCATTAGATGGGGCCCATGCTCTGATCTGTGCGGCCTAAATCTGTTCAGATGAGGGAAGCATTTTCCCATTTTAAGGCTGGATGAGGCCTTCTAGCAGCAAAGCTATAACCCTGCTAGGCAGCAACTGGTGTCCTCCCCAGAAACCCCCGCGAGCCCCGCGGCGGCTCCTTATACGGCCGTCTAGGTGGGTCTGCGGGGCTCTAGCGGAGGTCAGAGCGACAGGTCCATGTATGGAGCGCGCAAACTGCTCGCTGGGGGCGCACAGCGTCACACCCGATCCCCATCAATGAGAGCCTGATGGATAGAGCCCCCACCCTCAGACCCCCCGCTGTCCTCCCAACCCACCGACCCCACCCACCCACTCCCGCTGCCTGAGCCTGGCAGCATCCTAATATGGCCGAGGGCCGGGATGGGGGCCAGTGCTGCGCTTCTTGAATGGTGGAAGGCGGGTATATAAGCGGGCAGGCAGCGGCCAGGACTCCAGCTGGTTCAGCAGCAGCACTGGTTGGGTCGTTCTCTCCGAGCCGCAGAAAAAACACCTAAGGTAAGACCCCTGCAAGGAGCCTCCGCTTCTGAAGCCTCTCCTCTGGTAGGGCAGCAGACTGCAGGCCGCAAAGGAAACATTAGAGTATCCTCCTGGGATGAGGAAAGGGATGCAGCGCCTAGAACCAGTTAGTGTTAATGGAAGATATGGGATAACTCGTAAAATTAATATAAGTGATAAGAAAGAATTAGACAGAGACTTAGGAAGCGAGAATATGGAACCATTCCTAATTACGAATTGGTCTTGGTTAAATTCAAATGTGTTATAAGTCTTATGCATCTCCACATGAAAAAGTCTCACCATTAGATTAAAAAAATCACGATCCAAGGCAGGCTCTCATTTTCTAAGCTTTAAGGGTAATTTTTTTTACTAAGAATTATCTCCAGTGACATAATTTGTCATTCTACATCCACATTTCGCCTTAAAGTTGCTTAATGTTTCTATTTAAGTTTAATACAATTTTTTCCTCTGTTCTGAGAAAATCTGCTATTATGTTTGTCGTTTTTTAAGCAAAGACTTTAAAATTGAAGCTTATATTCCATGCGTAATAGTTTGGCACAGACGCGTGTAGCGCAGAGGATGGATCAGACTCTAATTGTTTGGAAATCTTAGTCATCTTGATCTAGATACTTATCCTAAAGTTTTCTGTGAATTAACACTTTTTACCACATGCTGAGTTGATTCAGTGCGCTCAGATCTTTCTGTTTCTCTCCTCTCCGCAACAGAAGCCAACATGTGTGACGACGATGAGACTACCGCTCTTGTGTGCGACAACGGCTCCGGCCTGGTGAAGGCTGGCTTCGCCGGAGACGACGCCCCCAGGGCCGTGTTCCCCTCCATCGTCGGCCGCCCCCGTCACCAGGTATAACCAACGGAGAAAACCTCTAAATTGTTTGACTTCAGTACAAACTAATAGGCCTTTATTTGATTGCTGATAGAATTATGACATATAAAAAAATTATTGGAAATAAAAAGATATATTTATAATTATTCCTACTGGAATAATGAAAGCTTTATATTTAGTTATTTTTAGAATGAGCAATGTACTCTGGACTATTGTCACAGGTGGTGCCTTTGTGACGCGTGCTGCTATTTGGCACATTTACGCAACGATCCCTAGAGACTGTTACCAGTCTGGCTTCACAAAGGTCACACCACTGTGTCTGCGCCTATGGATAACCCTTTCTTTTCCACCTCTCCCCCGTCCTACAGGGTGTCATGGTCGGTATGGGTCAGAAGGACTCCTACGTCGGCGACGAGGCCCAGAGCAAGAGGGGTATCCTGACTCTGAAGTACCCCATCGAGCACGGCATCATCACCAACTGGGACGACATGGAGAAGATCTGGCACCACACCTTCTACAACGAGCTGAGAGTGGCCCCTGAGGAGCACCCAACCCTGCTCACTGAGGCCCCCCTGAACCCCAAGGCCAACAGGGAGAAGATGACCCAGATCATGTTTGAGACCTTCAACGTCCCTGCCATGTATGTGGCCATCCAGGCTGTGCTGTCCCTGTACGCTTCCGGTCGTACCACTGGTGAGAAAAAGAAAAAAAAAAACACTAACAGCTGCAGCTCTTCACAAAGATGCAAAAAATTAAAAAATAAATAATTAACTCATTTGATGTTTTAAATTCGATAATTTTACGCACAACATTTCATCGTCTGCGCATCTTTTCCTGAGCTGCAGCCAGAGGCATCACGTTTTAACATCTGTTTGGCATCGTGATTTCACTAAACCCACCCTGCTGCCTCCTCTCAGGTATTGTGCTGGATGCCGGTGATGGTGTGACCCACAACGTCCCAGTCTATGAGGGTTACGCTCTGCCCCACGCCATCATGCGTCTGGACCTGGCTGGTCGCGATCTGACCGACTACCTGATGAAGATCCTGACTGAGCGTGGCTACTCCTTCGTGACCACCGGTGAGACATCTTAAAAAGAAAAAAAGAAAAATATAATGTAACCCCGCACTCGCTTCTTTGATCTCTAAATAATAACTCCACAACCTGCCCACTAACAGCTGAGCGTGAGATCGTGCGCGACATCAAGGAGAAGCTGTGCTACGTCGCCCTGGACTTCGAGAATGAGATGGCCACCGCTGCCTCCTCCTCCTCCCTGGAGAAGAGCTACGAGCTTCCTGACGGTCAGGTCATCACCATCGGTAACGAGAGGTTCCGTTGCCCCGAGACCCTCTTCCAGCCTTCCTTCATCGGTACATCAATTATTGTTTTATCTATAATTAGATCACTACCCTTACCACACAAGTCCTCCTAACACTTGCCCTCTCACCTGAACAGGAATGGAGTCTGCTGGCATCCATGAGACTGCCTACAACAGCATCATGAAGTGCGACATTGACATCCGTAAGGATCTGTACGCCAACAATGTGCTCTCCGGCGGTACCACCATGTACCCTGGTATTGCTGACCGTATGCAGAAGGAGATCACTGCTCTGGCCCCCAGCACCATGAAGATCAAGGTAAACAAAAAATATATACAAAAGCAAACTAGATCCAAACACTTTACGCACAAACATGCGCAATTACGCACTGATGAATAACCATCTGCCCGCTTCTCCTCTTTAGATCATTGCTCCTCCCGAGAGGAAGTACTCCGTCTGGATCGGTGGCTCTATCCTGGCTTCCCTGTCCACCTTCCAACAGATGTGGATCTCCAAGCAGGAGTACGACGAGGCCGGCCCCAGCATTGTCCACAGGAAGTGCTTCTAAATCCCCCATCTTCTGCTTCTCCATCTGCACCAGCCACCCGGAGAACGAGCGAGGAGAGGAGAAAAGCTCTGCGGCACAGCAACACTCTGCTGTCAATGGACTGTCTTTCTGCGCCCTTGACGTCCAAAATTCAATTTATATTGTTTTTTTTAAATCTGCATAGCTGTTTGTTGTCTGTGTTGCACGGAGAAAGGCTGTGAAAACAACCACTGAACCATGCATACGCCAAAAAAACTTTAATAAAAAAAAGTATAACAACATGTTGCCCAACACATGTGAATGTAAGTGTATATATACATATTGATAATTTATTAAAGTCCATTATTTGGTATTTTTGCCAGTGGCCTTGGTTTTCTATTAAAGGGGAGGGTAGACAACTGAAAACTGTGGAAGCATCAAAAAACAATTGTGGAAAATTAGAACTTCAGGTTTTCTTTAACAGGAACAATCAAACCAACTTAACCATCTTCATTTGCTCCACCTGGAAACCTGTTAAGCCTGCCATAAAAATATATCCCTCCTTTTTTCAAATAACGAATATCATTAACTTTAATCCTCAGTATACTCAGCCAGCACATTAATATAAATCAGGTCTCTTACCTCATTAAATGCAAGTTTTAACAACTCAGCATCTCGATCGCTCTTAAAAAACAATAATAAGCAAAAGTTCTACATTTAAAATCTATAATCTACCACTTTATTGATATATTGGCTTATTAGATTGTTGAAGTGGTTTCATTTTTCAAAAATACCTCTGACAGGTGTTTACCTTTTTTGCTCCAATGAGCAATTAACACACACATAAAAAAGATTAGAAATAGTTTTCATGGAAAAAAAATTATCAAATTCAAATATTCAGTTCAAAATATCATACTGTTTAGGAGGGGGGGGGGAAGGTTTCTAGGCCCTATGAGAGTGAATGAGCTGTGAGAAGCTCACATCAGATAAAGGGATGGATAGGTGTGATGAAGGTGCGCCACATCATCCTCAGTTCCTATGGGTGGGGTGGGGGTGTTCTTGGTCAGATTAGTGGGGTCTTCTTCAACACTCACATTTAGAATAGCGCTTGGCAGGAATGCGCACTGGCAACAGGAGCAGCTCTGCTGTTACTGTCTGGATCAGTAGTCCTGGGACACCTGACACCCTCCCTGGCTACCAGGACCATTTTTAGTCGAAGGCATACTTTGTGTCCAGACCGACCCTCTTGGAAAGCCCTGCCTTATATGCCTATGATCTCACCAGGTTATCTGAGAGTAGGGTTAGGTTAGAAACTTAAAAAAAAAAAAGCCATGTTTCTGAAATCATGTTCTAATAATACAACTCTAGATCCATTTTTATAGTAAAGCACAATACATGTTTTATATAGCCTAAATGTAAATTTAAAAAATTACATTATGTTTGAATAAATACATCTTATTTGAAAAAAAGGAACGTTTTTTTTTTCTTATTAGAAAACAAAGGCAGCCACCTGTTGTGGGTTTCTTCGGTTTCCTCAAATCGTCCTCGCAGGCGGGCGGAGCTACGCTCTGTGTTGATCCAGCAGCGCCATCTGCCCTGGACTGCTTCCGTGAAATCTGAGCTTGCAGTAAGTATGTGTACTGTACGCTAAATTAGACCTGATGCAGGCGATAGTTGCTCCCGTAGAGCAGGTGAACTGCTGCAGTCTGCAGTGGAAGGATTGTTTGATCCGCAAAGCTGCTCCGTTAGAGCCGCTGATGGACGATGACAGCGGCGCTCCCAAAGTGCCACCATAGTTAATCTGACGCATAGACTGAGATAACACTAATATATCTGTGATAACACGTGAGGAAATATGCGATCTGTTTTATTGATAGTGAATAGTGTAAAGGGCTACTTATGATGGAGAATCATTCATGCCTAATATGGTGAAACTGAGAGAAAGGTAGAAATCAAACATGTTCAGTAATTTAAAGCCGATGGGTTTAATAGCAGCGAGTAGTTTCTTTCTTTGTCTTTTAATATCTTTATTGCTTTGCTCATTTCGTACCGACGGTGGAGGACTTTGATCTTTTTGTTACTTGATGATCAAACTATAAGCTGAGAGAGCAGGCGGGTCCTAAACATGGGCGGAGCTAGATGGGGGGCCAGGGGCCCCCTTGGCCACCCTTAGCCAATCATTGGCCACCCCTAGCATTTATTTCCATCTAATATAGACAGTGGCAGCAGTAATACTCTCAAGTGGAATATTCAAAACATTTTATTTTTTCATATATTAACAATTACTTGACAACAAAATCAATGTGGTTAATTCTGCACATCAATATACTAACATTAAAGAGGATAAGTACAGAATTGAAGCAGAAATATATTTTGTGTTTTATGGGGTTTAAGAGAAAATGATGTGTCTCTGCAAGTCAACTAGGAGTCTTCAGTGAAATCATAAATAAATAACTATTTTAATAAAAACGTATTAAATAATAAATGTCTGTAGATATTATTACTTGTAAATATCAAGTTTATGCAGAATGATTATTGATAAAAGTAGGTAAGTAATGACAATGGAAAAGATGTTTGCCCAAAACTCAAACCTGAAAGAATTTTATCCACTATACCCTTTATTAAGTAAACACAGATGTTTGAATATATTGTTAGGAAAGGCTGTGGGAAAGTATAGTTTGTCTTTATTTAGAAAATATGATTGTTTTGCTCGTTAATTCCTGTTGGAACAGTATAGATTGAACGTGGGTTTTTTTTTCTGCCTATCTACCTTCGGCCACCCCTTAGTGTAGAGTCCTGCACGGCTGCACCCGCCCGAACCCGTTAGGATGACTACCAAACCCGACCCGTCACCCGCGGATATCTTCAATTCAAATCCGAGCCCGACCCGACCCGTTGATATTTAACCCGCAACCCGACCCGTTGATATTTAACCCGCAACCCGACCCGTTAACACATCAAGTAATCGGCTATTGTACGCTGCGCTGCAGAGCAGCGCCATTAACACTGCAGCAGACATGTATGCATTGACTGTGGCCTTTTTGGAGGAGAGCCCACACTGCCGGCAGGGCTTTAAGCTACAACAAGTGTGACCCCAGTGCCTGATTAATATAACATTTCTGATGTCCATAACAACACACACGCATTAAAAAAAAAAATCACCAACTACCCGCCCACACTAAAAAAATATCCGTCCGACCCGTTTATTTTTATTTATGTATTTTTCACCCGCAAAAGAGCATTTTAGCGGGTGACCCGTCGGGGACCCGCGGGTACCCGACCCGTTGCAGGACTCTAACTTTTTGTACATTGTTTATTGCCTGGCCGCCCTTATAAAATCTTTCTGGCTACGCCTCTGGTCCTCTGAAATCATCCTGTGCTGCTATTGGTTGAATCTGTGGTGGCGGCAGTTTAAATGTCTGTCAGTAAGAAACAACAGCTTTCCATGAGGAGATTTAATTAGCTGGTAACGCTGTTTTACTTTTATTATTACCTGTCCTTTGTGACAAAGCCTTTGTTCTTCTTTCCAGATTAAAAAAGAAACAAGATGGTAGCAAAGAGGATCCGCTCAGAGTACATGAAGAAGTTCAAAGACCCCAAATGGGAGACATACACCAAGTGTTACGGGGAGATGCTGGCCTACAGGCTGACTCGGAGGCTGCTGGAGCACACACACTACCCCTGGTTCTGGAGCGGCTCTGACAGCGATTCAGACTCAGGGGGAAGGAGCTCAACTTCTCCCACCAGGAACCAGGTTGAAGCCGCTAGAGGAAGATCTGAAGCTAAAACAAGGGAGGCTGAGGGGGTCAAAGCGGACAGACATACTATTCAGAATAAGGAGCAGATTAGGCCTGATCAACAGCCTTCAGCACTCAGTAAGGGTTAAATAGAGTAAATATTGTACATCACTATGTGGTGTTTGCAAATTGTCCTGATTTGAATGAATCAACCTTTAGGGTTGCAGTGTGATGATGCCAAGGAGTCAAAAACAGCACTTCATGGAGAGGAAGAGGAGCAGAGAGTCGGCAGCAGAGCCAGTAAACATTCAACTGCTCCAATTGGAGACCAGGGTAATTTATTAGATATACTCTGATATTCTGTTCTGAAAATTGTTGTTTATATCCCAGTAGCTGAGTTTCCATTACAAATTGGTGAAAAACCATATCGATATTCTGCTTAATTAAAAAATGCAAAGTTCCACAATTATGGTAACTCCATTAAATAACAAATACAATCAAAATGGTGCGTCCTAAATCTGAAAAGAACATAAGATATTATCCATATTTCAGCCATGGGTAGAGTGGGCACCATCCTTCTACAACTACTGTACTTCTGGTCGTCTGCTTCGTCTTCATAAAAGGCAGTAAGGTCCAGCTGATGCAAAAAAAGCGTTTCCATTGCAGTTTTGCGAAATCCAACAATTCGATGTGACCAAACAAAAAATCACCTAATGGAAGCATGAAACTTTTATTGAAAATTCTTTTCAATAAATTTTTTTGAATAAAAAAATAATTGTGTATTTTATACCCTATTTAATTTCTATTCTAGCCATTGTTTCTGTCTTCTTCTTTTTGCCCACCTTCTGATGTGGGCAAATGCTTAACTCAGAAAATGACATCAACAATGGTGCCCACCCACTGATCTTTGGTACTACCATTGGTAGTACACGGGGTGCTGTGAAGTCACCAGCCACCATATTGGTACTCCCTAGTTAGACGGGTCAGAATGTAAACAATATGTGCGCTACAGCATCAAACAACGATGATGTTCTCAGTTACATGGGGGCTTAAGACTTTTGAAATAAAGATAAAGTAATCACTTTGACACACACTTGCTTTTTCATAGCATCAGTAGATTGCTGTAATTTATGGTAAAAATAGGCACATCACATTGCATATTCAATATAAAGACTATAAATCATGTACTATAACATATTATGTAAATCCATCACAGCAAAAAGAGTGTGTTAATGGAGCATAATAATACTGTAGTCAGATATTAAGAATATTAAACACGTGCACACACTATCTGATGATGTGCTAAACGTGCTAAATTGATGATGTATATGTAATATACATGTATTGATTACATTGTTATGGTAATTACATTACATTATAGGCATTTTTATGGCGCGACTCAGTGAGAGTGGGGATTACCAAGGTGGCGGCAGGTGACTTCCATTTTTCCTGCCTATCAGCAATCCAGTCATAAGGATAGAAGAGAGTAAACAAAAACCTAGATTTAACTCAAACAACAGAAGACAGTGTTTATCTTAAAGAGCAAGAAAACTACATACAGACAGCCAACTAAACTAGCCCCACCAGCCAGCGGCAAAAATAAATTTTGCCTGCGAATTTGGTCTAGCCTCGATCAATGCCCCAGGCCCTAGAACTGGTGGGCCAATCACAACGCAGAGATGTGTTTTAAATTTTTGGATGCAAAGTGGGCTGGGTTTTGAGGGTGTGATGACGAAGCTGCGCGATGCTGGAGAAAGCACAACAAGGTAGATGGCAACAACTATAGAACAGTTCTCATTTGATTTAGCTTTGAAATCAGTTTTGCAAGGATTAGACTTTGGGTTTTCTTAGAAACGTGAGCAGAAAGAGGCTCTATGCTCATTAAATTTTAAGGACGTATTCGCCGTTTTACCGACAGGCTGTTCATTCATTGGGGCCAGACTAAATTACACATTTAACCTCACATTTAGTCTGGCTTAACAGGCAGAGATAACTTCAAAAGGCAGTACAGAATTTACTAATAATACTGCCACCTGTGGCCAAAACACAGAACAGCAGCTCTCCTGCTCATTCTCTTAGCTTGCGCTTGTACTTGACAAGATTTGTTTGTTTGTTTTACTTTTTTCACCTTACCTGGAGTTGCCTCTGGTGTCTGAGTTAAACTAGATTCCGGTTGCTTCTGACTACCCACAAATCTCGAATATATAATTCACTTGTTTGCTAGGTCTGACCCATTTAATGTGGACCCGCTTGACATCACATCCACAGAAACAGAGCGGGAACTTCTGGCTGCAGCTTATAGATGCATCAAAGCTGAACCACTGAGGCGTCGGGTCTGCTCATCAAACCAAGTTTTAGTTGTAAAGGATCAAATAAAAAAAAAAATAAAAAATTCTGTAAAAACTCACAAAATATCTCTTTAAAATGATAGTTATGAATTAATAATCCTAATTACTAAAAGGCATGCTAAGACTGTAAAGAATATTGATTTGCCTTTTTCAGAGAAAGAGACCAGAAAATCCCGACCTCGGCGAACAAAATCCTCCAAATCAACAAGACCAGCTCGGGTCTCCCGGCGCCCTGCAGCGTCACAGCACTCCAAAGAGGACCCTCAGGAAGACAGACATCCTTTTGCTCTGTATGGCTCAGGAGAAAAGGATGCAGACATCGCAGGCAGGAAGACTCACAACGTTGCTCCTGCGGCTTCAACTGCTGAGGTTATTTTATCCTTCATTATTCTGCAATCAGCATTCGGTAAAGTGCTGATCGTGTTTTTCTAACTCACAGATTCATGAATCGGCTCTGCGGGCTAAGACCAGGCGGCAGGTGGAGCGACAGATCCAGTCCCAGGAAGCTGAACGTCGCAGGGCCAAGTCAGCCGATCAGAACAAAGGCGGGAGAGTAGCCCAGCCTGCACTCAACCCATGGATCACAGAGTACATGTACTGCTACTCCAGTCGCTTTCCATAAATGCAAGAATTAATCATCTTTCTTTCAATCCTTCAGGGTCCTCGGTGTGCATGGTACCACTCACATGTTCAGGATGCAAAGTCATTACTGAATTTCAATGTGTGGCTCATAAAGACACTAAACAGTAGAAACTATTTAAATCTAGAGTAAACTCAGATGATTCATACAAGGTAAAGGAGACTCGTGAAATCAACTTTTTTGGGGGGCATATTTATGATAAACTGAAGATTTTATGAAGTTTAAATGAGTGGTTTATAGTTTATATAGAATCTTACAGTCATACTTTGATAAAGAAAGAGCGTTCATATACATATCTCAACCTAGACTGATGTTAGAACCTCAATGAAGGGAACAGAAACCTGTCTTATCGTGTGTTTATTACAAGCTGTATGGGTAGGGCTGCATGTATCCTTTGACTCTATTGCTGCATGTATTTTGATTTTTATGCCAAAATGTTATGTTGAGCTGTCAGCTGAAAGCGTATAAAATGGTTTAACTTAGAAAACATTTGGTCAGACATTCGGAACTTAAATCAACCATAGACTGCTGCTTAATGTTTTGGTTGCAGGTAAGCTGCTAAGAAATGGTCCTCACAGTTGAGAGAAAGAAAAGCAAGTTTCTATGAAGAACACATTTGGGTAATAAGACAGTTTAAAGTACTTTATATTAACAAAACATGAGAGAAAAGAAAATTCCATTGCAGTAAAAGGAGGCAAAGGAAATAGTAGTAGAGAAAAAGGTTTATGTTTCAATTAGTTTGGATAGATCAGTCAAAGACAGCTCTAAACAAACAGGGTTTTAACGTTGATTTTAAGGAACTCAGGGTTTCAGCTTTTTTCTTGGGATTTTATTCCAGATTAGCCGAAGATAAGAACCAGTAGATTTTTTTTAGGTGGGTATACTGGGACAGCCGTTTTTAGACCTTTTTTTTTTTAATTATGACACATTTTTTTTTCTGAAAAAAATTTAAATAGTCAAACACTAAATTTTGTTGTGGAAGCAACTCACAACTCGAGAGAGAGGAAAAATAAATGTAATTTGAACAAACTTGCCAAATCAGCATTGTACTGAAACAACTGTTATTTCTCTTTAATTTCACATCTATGGTCTATAGACACGGACGCATGTGGTTTTTAGTTTGGTTTAATATTTGATCAATCTGTTAGCAGCTGTGGCCTACATTTTGCTCAATGACAGCTAGAGATACACACCAGCTTTCCAACAGGACCACAAGGAGAAATTGGTAGATAGATGATGGATGGAAATTATTTATTCAGAAGTTAAGGGATGCTAACTTTTTTGCAAGCCACTGTAATATATACATGTTTTCTGTGTTCTATTTTTGGAAAAACTCAAAATACATTCTTAAATCTCAGTGGCTTTCATCATTCCTATTTTAAGTAAAAAGAAATACAACTGAAAATAAAAATATTTATCTGATTTTTTTTTTAAATATATTTTTGTTTTAATAGAGCTGTTTTTTATAGGCACAATTAAAAGTGATAAACTGTCTTCAAATGATAATGGATAGGTTTCACTATTTCTCCCTCCTTCCTGAAATAGTGCACTAGATCCATAGGTCTGTTGTGGAGGTAATTTATTCATATTCACAGTCCAAGAAAAACTGAAGCTTGTGTTCTGCTCCACCTCTTCCTTATTGATGCAGTGCTGTAAGGGGAAACAAATAAGTGCTTTAACTTCTAATAATGCCATACAAATGTGTGACAATATTTAATACAGATCTAACTATACATCTATCAGTTAATGGTTTTTATTGTTAAAATAATAAGGAATAAAGATGAACCAAGTTCTGAAGCTAAACTATATGAGCCAAATTCAAAGTGAGTTGAACCCACTTTTATTAACTTCAGGTTACAAGCGATGCAAAAATGTGAGCCCAGTATGTAATTAACTAGTGAAAAATGCAACACTACAATAGGTATTATTTTAAATAAGTTAAGAGCTGGCATAATGATGAATCAGAAACAACAAATGTTTAAACGTAATTCCCTTATGAAAATGATTTTTCTTGAACACCAGTTAGTTATTAAGTGTGTTATTAACACGTGCTTAACAACACTTTGGACCTTATCTGGGCTAAGGTTTTATTCTTATTTTGTTCTTTGATTCAACTGTTTCAGCTCCACTCTGTTCCAACCCCTGTCCTCCACTCCTCAGTTAGAGGAAGAAAATGTTTGGAGGGTTTTGTCCTTCTAAAGATAAGGAGATATAAAGTTCATAAACAAACAAACAAAAACAATTAAAAAACACTAAAACATGATTTCTCATGCAGTTGTCCATTTCCAGAGCAGCATGGCTTCTTTGTATGAATGAAAAAGAACAATTACTTTAAAAAAGCAACAAAGACATGATGAATGATCTTGTGTTCAACCTTTACAAAGAAAAGGCTGAGGACAGGGAGTAATATCAGAAGCAAATGGTGAATCAGATCATGCTTTTATTTGTTTCCTCATTTTAATCTGTTGTCTATGTTAATTTCCCTCCATAAAAGGCAAAATACTGTTATCTTGTGTGGAAGTATATCCACTATTATTGGTACAAAATTAGTTAAATTATTTTATTTCTAATTTTATTACAGCTGTTCTCAAAACACTTCATTTATATAATATATATATATTTTTAAATAAAGACAAAAAAACAAAACAAAAACAAACAAACAAAAAAAAACTGACAAGTACTGTATTATTGTTGATTTGCAGTTGGGGGGCAAAGCAGAGAATTTGTGCTCCGGGCACAAAAAGGCTAGCACCGCCCCTGATCTTACCATACGGGCAAAAGTCCCATTATGCACCCTACACTTAAAAAAATTCTCCAGTATTCTGAAGGGGATATTGATGTAAATGTGATGGTCCTGCGTACTGATGCATACCAGTCCACTTAAAGCACTGATGGTGAGGCTGGCGTGTATTACTTGAGTTAATAACTTTGGTGTAGCTTTTAATAATCTTCTAACAAGGAAGCTTCCTCTAAAATGTGTTTTTTTACGAGCATTTCCATTACCGCAAAGCTTGATCAATTCTTAGCAAGGCTAATTACCATGGTAATGTACTCTGAATGGTAAATCGGCTCCGGAACAGGCTTTTATTGTAGTCCACACATTAATAATAATAAATGAACTTTATGGATCTCGCATTGGATAAATTGACCTCTGTATTTAACCCATCGCCTTGGGGAGTAGTGGGCTGCCATTGTGGGGCACCCAGGGAGCTAATGTGCAGTTAAGGGTCTTGCTCAAAGAGCCAGAGTGGCAACCTGTGGGGCTTGAACTCAGAACCTTAGGATTCAGAGCTCTACACACTAACCCCTAGGACACCACCTCCCCGTTAACAAATGAAAAGGTCCAACTAGCCACATGAAATGATTTTTATCTGCTCACAAGTCCTCTTCACTTCTGAGGAGTGGAGGATGATATGCCATTAAAATGCAGTACAGTGATTGGGATGCAGTCTGTGTTAAATGATACTGATGTGTAACTTGCACATTTACATAGTCAGCAATCTTTTGCCTCGATATCCGGCACCTCTGACATTTCACTGAGAATAAATTTTTTCCCTCTTCAAATTCCTGTAAAATTAGTTTCTCAGTGCTCCCCCTTCGGCACTCATGATTGTAACTAGTCTGCTACCTTGAACCGGCCCTTTTATATGTGCATGTTTAAGCTGGATTGAGTTGACAACCAGCTTTGTGGTACTGCTGATCCTGATTACTTTTACTAGTAGATTGTTGTGGATTGGTTAAAATGGATAGGCTGGAACCAATCCCGCTAAGTTGGACTCGCTTCATGGAACAGGCCTCTGCTCTACCATGGGCAGTGGAGGTTCACTTAGGGACTAAGAAAAATTAGTTTCTTAACTCCTTTAATTTAACTCATTCAATAAATGAAATCAATTAATACATTTAGATCTGTTAATAAAGCTGCAGTGTGTAACATTTACCTCCATTTAAATTAAATCAATGACAAAAGACCAAAAAGCATGCTCTGGTTGGGCCTCCTCATCTAGTATATAAGAATACTTCAGAAGCAGTGGAATGACATTTTCTTCTTTCTGATTGGAGGAGACACATCAACCTGTCATATCTTTCCAATCAGCTAAATTAAACAATGGAAAGCATTGAAAATATCTTAGAAAACAGAGCTAAAAGAAGCATACGGTCTCCTACTTGTATGATCTTTGTGAAAAATAGCAGCTTATTACTGTTGTAACTGAGCTCATCTAGTGTATGATAACAAACTAGCCATCTCCACTGGGGAGGCAGACTAGTTGCTGGACAACACTGCCCTATTTCTAACATAAAGCCAAAATAAACTTTACTATTGTTAAATGACCGTACCTTTCCAGCACACAGCCTGAAACCTCCAGGTCTTTTCTGAAGCCCCGCCCCCTTATAAATGGTCTTCACCTGATCAAAGCTGCACCTAAGTGGTTCTAGTTTTCTTCCAAGTTATTTTTCTTTTTATAGTTTGTTTTTCTTGCTTCTCACTGGTCAAAGAGTCGTATAGTTGTTTTAAACTCCTCTGCAAAGGACAAGTTTTCAGATACAGGTTAAACAAGCGAGCCTGACAGGTTTCTCCCCTTTTGATGAATATGTATTATTAAAGCAATATGTTCTTTGATAATAAAAGCCAAATTTGTAACACAGTCACTTATATTTTTTTGAAAAATTAAGATTTTTTTGCTGTAATGCACTCTTTTGGCGTTTATACTTCATAGTGATGTCAGCATTTCATCTTTCTTACTAGGATATAAACTCAAAACCAATAAACTTAACATTTCTTGTTATTTTTTTTACAATGGCAGGGCCTGCCAACTTTCGTTACAAGCCAGTTTCACCACTTTTTGCACTTTGAATAATTTAGTTCATTCCAAGAAGGGATGAACTAAATCTCCCTGCCTGGGTGCTGCCCATTTCATGGCATTGCAGTTATAACACATCTTCTGAACTGAGGCTAAACAAAGTCCAAGACCTCTCAAAGCCAAAAAGGAACATTTTAAGACACTAGTTAAAACGTTTCGGTCCCTGTACAGATACGATGCTAAAACAGGCACTTCATCTCAACTTTGACAGGAAGAGGGGCTTGTCTGCTGTTCTGGCACCACACAGTCAATGTAGGTGTTCCTGGAGGGAGCAAAATAACACATACAGTGGATAAAATAAGTATTAAATATGTCGCCATTTTTCCTTAGTAAATATATTGGTGCTGTTGACATGAGTTAAAAGATCATGGTGAAAGCGCCACTTTGTGCCGTTAGCTACGCTTCCAAAGGATTGGTTATAGCTGCTATGGAAAGTATGTTCAAACTTGACACATGAATCTCCTGTCACCACTAAAGGTGCTGCAGCCAACAGTTTTCCTGCTTCACCTCCACAGTATCAAAACCATTTTACCATCAAGACCATAAAGGGTTCCCTAAAGA